GGTATCTGTGTTCTCAGTTTATTTTTCAATTCGTTCAGTTCGGACTTCATTTAAGTTCGAAGGTGAAGCGGAGTTTGTACTGTCCCATGAGGAACATTGAGGCCACAGCGTGTAAAGCAACATGAGATTGTGATTAGGAAGCGCAAAAATCTGGATAACAAAACGCAGACGAGGGCCATCGCCTTCAACGGTTTCAGGGGTCTACAGCATCTATAAACTTCGCAAGGACATTCACAAGCCTCAAAGTCCATATGACGTGAAATGAACGTCCGTACTTCATAGATTTTCCAAATAGTTTCTTTCCTGGCATCGCTGGTAATGAGAGAGGGACTTTCCTCACTTTTTGATGAATTTGATATCTCCCTTAATCGACCCTCTGAAGTGTGGTAACATCCGGTTCACCGATAATGTATTCGTTGATAATCAGTAGAGACCCAGATAATCATGTTTTTTAATATCAACACTCACGCGTATCAACAGGAAAATGTATAGCGGATTATAATTTCGCGTGAAATGTGATCATCTCTAAGATCAAAAAATAGTCCGCGTTTCTCTGACCTAGATTCTTATCGTTTCAGTGTAATATCTAAACAGGCATGTCTTCGAAAACATTCTTATCTGCTCTTTTTATTTTATTACTTCCTTTTCCTGGTTGATACCAAATTGATTCTCTTCTTCCCTTCTTGACACTCTTTCCATCTAAAGGGTTTATATAGTTTAGAGTCTATCTGTCGAGCCCTGCTCTAGCTGCATGGTACGATACATACACAATTAGTTTCTCGGAAGCATATTATAGGGCGGCCAGATACTCTACAACTAGAATTCCTACAAGTGCACAAGTGGGCAATCGCAGGAGAAACGCGCACCCTACAGGCGATTGGTGATTTCCCTCTAGCTAGTCCGAGGCCCGTCATATATATAGATCTAAGTGGCACTCGACAGATATGTGTATCATTGACTTTCACACAAAGCACACTCCTTGGTTACCTGTGATTATAGGTACCGAGTCTACTGGAGAAATTAAGATTATACCATCTCAGATAGAATGGTATACGCTGGCAGTAAGCATTATCACGCACTCCTCCGCAGATGAGGCAATAGTTCTACAGAACAGGACGGTGTAATACGCAAGATAAACGGAAACATTTCACCCTATTTTGAGGTAAATTCTGATAAATAAAATAATTGCTGCCTAGCAACGTAGGAAGCCGTCAGTTGAATCTAAAATGTTGCAGTAAGTTTAGAACGTGTCAATGAAACAACACTCTCCCCTTCCATTAATAAATCGACTACTGGGAAAGCCAAATTCTTGCTGTTGTCCTCATAATTCAACATCCTTGAAGATTAGCATGCTTTTAATAACATACTTTTCGTGTACTAACTCTATTAAGAACCGGAACAATTACAACATGGGACCCATATTCCCTTAGAGCGTGTCTAAGGAGGGAATAAGATATATATTAAAACTTGGACTGTAAAAAGCTAAAATCAGTAAAGATGCGCGCGCACGGGCTATCTATTCTGAAGCTTTAGGCATAAGAGATCGCAATAAGATACGTACGGGCCTTTGTACACTCAAACCAGGTCAAATACTCTACAGATATAATGTGTCTTTGCTCAAAAAATAAATATAAGAGAAAGAGGATATAGCTTAGTCTTAGCCTGGCTTACAATTGAAATATTTCAGATCTTTGTTTAAACTTAAATATTAGACCTCCTTGAGTATTTGCGTATCCTTTCATGTTTCTGGTCAATTCGATGCCCGCACCGAGAAGTTTTGAGTGACGCGTTCGAAAGGTTTGTTCGAGGTAACCCAATTTCCTCCTTGACCCTCGGAGCAAATATGCTGAGATGGCCCATTGTTTTGCTTCTGGGTGAATAATGTAACTTCAAATTAACTGTCTTCCCAGTAAGCACGTTACACACAGGTTTTTAAACTGTTTTGACGTTGAATAAATAAAAAACGAAAAAGAAATGACATTCGCCGAGTCAGTATTACTCTTTTAGAGGTCTTGCTTCGTTACAACCTTGGACTTAGCAGGAAAAGGTGCTTTTGGCAAACTCTTCATTCTTCATCTGAACGGTCTAGGCTAAAGTTGACCATGATGATAAATAGACATTTGGCTGGACAATCAGACTTTCGGTATGAAGGAACCACAAAACATGGACTGGTATGACAACACATTGTTAGAAGAATTTAATTGACTGTATTCAGGAACAATATTATCCACTTTTTGCATACCAGAAGGCCCAGTTTACACGAGTTTTTCTGTCACAAAATTCACCGTTTCTACCTTCTGCAATTATTCGTCGCGGTGTCTGGAGGAAAAAATGTAGCGGGCGGCTGCTGTTCAGATAGTTTGCCGATCAATATCAGGCGACAAGCCGGAGTAGTACCCCTAAACAACACGGGCCCACGGACAGCACGGATCTTTCTGCCTCTTCCTTGACTCTCCACGCTCCTCTTTACAAACGCACAAATTACTCATAATGCATACCCTGAGGAGCGGATTCAGAGAAAAAATTTGGCGAGAGGAAATTTTAAATGTTTTTGTCGAAACGTGTCCGTTACATTGATTTTGAAAATATCGCAAGCTTCGCTCAGCTCATGCTCTCGATACGATTTTATTCGTTTTAACGTATTATCGGAAATTTTTTTTTGTTAAAGAAAGTTTCGTGACAAATTAAAATGAATAGTTTACAGAGAAATTTTCAGGGGGGAGGGGATTTCCCTCCTGTGCATCCGCGCCTGACACGACTAAACAACAATAGCGGATCGGGGGCTTACAACTTGTGTCGGCTGGTGTCGTGCCCTCGCTGGGGCAGATGGGAGGGAAGAGGAAATTCCCTACGAGCGTCTAGCAGGCCATAAATCAATCATTTTGCCCCCACCTCTGCTTACCCCTGCAGTCCTTCACAGCACATGTGAGTCTGCCCCACCCCTGGCGTCACTCATACCTCCTTCACCCCCCTCGCATCAACATCACGGCTGCTACATGCCTCATATCCTACCTCCACCTCAGCGATTGTAATTTACAAATATAGGATCTTTTGAGTCTTTGTTGATATGTTTTCAAGGATGCCTTCTCTCTTCAAACTTTGATGTTGGGTTCCAGTGTGGAGCTTTATTCCCTTTAAAAAGAACAGTATATTTGCCATTGGTAGAACTCGTAATAATAAGTATGGTCAGGGCCGATAAAGTAGTGGCGGGGCCCCAAGCACAAAATGTGTGCCCCCCGCCCCCCCGAAAAAAATTAGCTCCCATGTTTAGTTAAATAAAAAGTGTATTATAGTACCAAGTACCTTTTAGTACAGATAAAATGAAAACTGATAATAGTAGTTAGTTCATATAGTTAAGAGCGATAGTAATATTAGACCTAATTTTACATGTAATAAATATTTTTTAAATGTTTTGAAATTGTTACATTTTGTTACACAGTAGACTACTTGATTAACAATTAATTTCACAGACAAAAAAATATGGTAAGCGTATTTTTCCAAAACACGCGGGCCCTGGTTGAAATGGGGGCCCCCAGAACTGCTTGTTTTGCTTGTAGGTAAATCCGGCCCTGAGTATGGTAACAGAAAATGCGTTTAAAAAATTCA